AAAGGAGAGAGGAAGAAAGGAGAGAGGAAGAAAGGAGAGAGGAAGAAAGGAGAGAGGAAGAAAGGAGAGAGGAAGAAAGGAGAGAGGAAGAAAGGAGAGAGGAAGAAAGGAGAGAGGAAGAAAGGAGAGAGGAAGAAAGGAGAGAGGAAGAAAGGAGAGAGGAAGAAAGGAGAGAGGAAGAAAGGAGAGAGGAAGAAAGGAGAGAGGAAGAAAGGAGAGAGGAAGAAAGGAGAGAGGAAGAAAGGAGAGAGGAAGAAAGGAGAGAGGAAGAAAGGGCTAAGGGACAGAGAGAGGAAGGAAGAAAGGAGAGAGGAAGAAAGGAGAGAGGAAGAAAGGAGAGAGGAAGAAAGGAGAGAGGAAGAAAGGAGAGAGGAAGTAGAGGCAGAGGGACAAAAAGAAGGACAAGGTAAGGTAAGAAGTAAGGGAGAGTGTAAGGAAGAAAGGAAGGAAGAATGGAGGGGAAAGACAGAACCAGGGAAGATGAAAGGAAGAAAAGGGGGAAAGAAGAAAAGAAGAATGAAGGGAGGGAAGATGGTGTTAAGCAAACTGAACAATACCTGTGCAATAAAGACTAGAGGTCAGCTTAGACAAGTTAAACTCTGTGCGAACAGTTCTCTCTGTCTTGGGTTTAAATCGTGACCTCTCTCTGACATGTGTATCCAAAGGTCTTCTTGTTTCAGTGGCATCTACACTCTTTACCCTGTGACTGACTTTAGATTTCGTACCAGCCTTAAACCGTGATCGCCTATGAGAATCAGTTCTTTCCTTGAAACTCTTAACATGTTCAGTGTCAATTGAGGACTTGGTGTCACTTTCAACTTTGTCATCCACCTTCGAACCTCCACTGAAACTTTCCTGGTGAAATCTACCCTCACCAAATGACTTCTTGTCTTTCATCATTCCACCTTTGCTGAATGATGACCCCAAACCTCCAACCTCATCAGTCAGTTGTTCTTTTGAAGAAAAATCAACAGAGTGTTTACTATCTTTTACATTACATTTGTTGCTTTCTGTAACATTCTGAGTAGATTTAACCTTTGATAGTCCATTGCTTGAAAATGATGAATCAGAGCTTGTCCCACAATTAGCATCCATGCCACCTCGGGAACTTTCTTTCCTTGCTTTAGAATCTGTCTTTACACTCTTAGCCTTTCCATTGCCAAAGTAATTCTGAAGGTTTCGATAAAACTCTTGTTGAGATGCAGAAAGAGGTGTCTTTCCAGACTGTCCATTTTTCCTGTTACAAGTACAATTATTCATAGATGAGTTAGTACTTGAGATGCAAGTACCATTTACAAAGTGAATTCTGTTCTTTGTGGCATTACAAGGTTGAGGCCTGCCTTCCTTCAGTTGCCCACATTTTGAACAAATATCACAGCTAATTTTAGATTCGGGTTTCTTGGAATTTGCCTTTTCTTTCCCTGAGTTATTTCTTTGTTTCTTGTCTTTGATATCTGTTACTCCACCAAAACTGTCAGAATTTTCCAAAGGTGTAGATACCCCCTGATTCAAAACATCTGATTCACAGCATGATGACTCTTCTTTCAAATCATTATTTAACATATCATAGTATTCAGCCCAGTCGTCTGGAGCCATTTCACGTGCTGCACATAACTCCTCAAGAAATCTTGAATCCAAGTCTTCATCATAGTTGCCACTGTCATCATAATGCCCCTTAGGGTATTTTTCCCTTTGGCCAATAAAATCATCCACTAAATCATCACTGTGATCTTCTTGTTTATGATTGCAAACACTGCTATCCTCATTTAATGCTTCCTGTGAACTAATGGGTGTATTTAGCGATGAACTGAAAAAACTGTCAACTTCATCCCCATCTTTGTGCTCAAGATCTTGTTTGGAACTTTGACTTCCAGAACTGTACCACATGTCCTCACTCATCTGAGGAAGATCAATTTCAGTTAGTCCATCGATTGGGCTACTTGGAGTTGTCTTCTTTCGATAACTTCTGTTTACATAGGTGGCCCAAGGATTGTCAATGGCTGCTTGTTCATCAACATGGCTGTGAGAACAAGGGGAGACATCTGGATCTTTGCCTCTTACATTCTGTACATTCCAGTCAGCAAAATAACTTTTCTGTTTTGTTTTCCCACAGCTTGATTTTGGCCTGGAGACACTAGCAAAGCTCAATGGTTGTGGCTTGTTGTCTAAAACATCTGCGTTTGCCTGAAAGTAATCCAGTGTTTCCTTGTAGACTTCACAGTCAGGTTTTAACTGACAAGCCTGGAATGAAATAAAACTTCAAATTACATATGCACATATCTTTGAACAGGAAGTAAGAGAAACTAATTGATGATGAAAATAAAGAATTATTGACAGGTCATCAACTTTTTTCATCTTAGCTGCCATTTATTCCCTTCTAGATCACTGATAAACAGAATATGGTGTTGCACTAACATTAACTCTTTGATCTCTGAGAGTAGTGAATAGCATCTAAATTCTCCTTAGAATATCACCCCTGAGTCAAACATCAAGGTCATGAGAATAAGGAAAATGATCACCAACTCAAGAAGCTCTTGATTGTTAAACAAAATTCTCCTTGTCAGCACCTTAGGAAATGTATAAAGAACAGAATGGAGAATATGCACTTTGATGTTAGAGTGTAAAGGGTTAAGCCAAGATCCTTTAGCTGATCACTCTTTCTCTTCACTTTACCAATTTACCAAATAATACAAATGTATATTGAAACTGTAACAGGAATTTACATCCTGATCCCTTCTTAAAGTTCAAAGGTTAATTCAGCTTAAAAAGATCCCTGAGATCATGATGTAATTTACAGAAGCATTCCAAAAGTTCAACATCTCAGATCATGTGAGTTTTCTACATTGATCTATAGGAGAATGGCAATGGGAAAATTGAGATGGGAAGGAATGGGTGAAGTTTAACTTGACCCAAATATAGCTACAGCAGCTGTAACTTTCAATCAGAGGTCACCTCATTTAAATGAAAAAGCCACAAACCTTTTCAAATAATCTAATGGCTTCAGGAATCTTGCAGCAATCCACTAAAAGTAGAGCCTGATCATAGAACTTCTCAGCTCTTTCACTGCAAGATGAAATAACATAATACTCTCTTAATACTTTACAAATAATAGAGCTTTACATATACATTGTAGTTCAATTTTATCCTTGGTTCAAATTTTATTTTCCTTTGTTTCAAACTCATTATCATACATTAACATGACCGAGAACAAAGGAAAATAAAATTTGAACAAAGGATAAAATTGAACTACAACACATACCTAAAAAAACTTATTTCATGGTCTTTAAATATTGCCCAAGACATTTGTAAATGGTCCTTCAGTCAATTAGATAATGGATATTGGATAGGTAGTTTATACCACACAAGTGAATAATAATAATAAAAGCTTTTCATGTGCACTGATAGGGCAGTTCAGAAGTGAAAAGCAAGTACTAGCTGAGACAAAATAGCACATCAGGAGTTTAATTTCTCACCATTTTTTCATATATTGAAAGAAATCAACTTAAGGTTTTTTGGGATCTGTGTGGTACTAAAACAAGTATTCACCCCAGTGTCAGTGAAAGAGGTGGATATTTACCTCACCACTTCATGGCACACTAAATACCCATCACTTTTCACCTCCACTTTTGGTGAATAATTGTTAATAACCAATCTCACTGCCTCTGTTTAATTTTCGCTTAGAAACTGGTCATGAGGGGGACCAATTGGTAGGGAAACCATCAATCCTCTGTTCACCTGCAATAATTATGGTTTCTGAGGTTGCTGAGATGAACGACATGCAACTATCAAAATTTTGTCCTGGGAACTCTGCTTGAGTGTTCTTATGGAAAATTTTTGGCAAAATAACTAGGAAACACCCACACTTCACCATCATCATGCATATAAATATTTAACAATAGCAAAAATGGCAAAAATGATCAACTACCTTTCAGACTAAGGCTTTGTCTTGGAATGGCATGGGGTAATACAGAAATCTCTAGCGTTATTCAGATCTTGTTCGAAAGAAATAAAATGTCCCACACCAAAGATCATATCCTTCTTAAAACTATTGTACTGAATTTTTTGCATAGAAAAGAGCAGCAAGGTGAGATCTCAAAAACTGAACCTGACTGTTTATCTTGGCTCCTCAGAAGGGACCCTCTACCTGATTAACAGTAAATTAACACCAATAACCTTGATTATAAACTGAAGAAGCCATATCTCTTATTAATCAAGCATGAGGGCCGTACTGGGAGAATATTGGCCTGAGGTCTTGACAGTACGGACCGAGCACAGCGAGGTCCGTACAAAAAAGACCGAGGGCTGATATTCTTCCAGTACGGTCCCGAGCAAGCTTGGTTAATAAGAGATTTATTATACGACTGAAGTTCCAAGGGACACAGGTGCAGAATCATTCGGGACCATTCGGGACAGTGCCCGGTCCAATACTGAGGGAATATTGACTGGCAATAGAGCATTTTGATTGGTTGATTTTAGTTATTGGCCGTCTGACTGCCCCAGTCGTGTAATAAATACCATTATTGGCTACACAAAAATTATATCATACTGCTCTTCATACAATAGATCTTCCGCTCAAAATGATGTAGTCCAAACTTTTAAAAAGTGAAGATGTTTACAACTTCCTCACCTCGTTTCGGTTTATGATTAACAAATCCCGATTACCAAACGCCTACACATGCATTCATTTTAAGAGAAGCCCAGCATCAAAAGAAATGCAATTAGAAAAATTTGTAATCGACTGACTAAGTTGTTTTTACATGAGCAACTAAGCGGATATTTAGTCGAGACGAAAACTCGTACCTCAGACAATTCACAGACACATCTAAGGAACATGTCCGCGCAGTATTGGTTCATTTGAAAGGGCTTCAAAATTTCCATTTGATAAGGAAGGTTTGGTTACGGTACGTTTCTTTCTAAAAATTACATTTTCAGCAAGAAATGAAGAAACACAGTTGAAGACAAACAAGAATAAGGACAAATAGAGCGAAAAAATCAAAATAGCGTTGTCTCTAAATAAACCACTCGAGCTTGAAAATGATACCCCATAACCATTTGTTTTTTACCTTCGTTCATCGCTTGAAAACTTTTCAGAAGCTTCCATAGCTTGTCAATACAATCCGTCGTGAAAGATCATCTTGCAATGACATGGCAATCTTTCATTTTCGTGATTACAACCGAAAAAACGGACCTCGCGATCACAATCTCGTCACGCTGATAAAGGAAATTTGGCAACCTCATAACGAGGGCCCCCACGTACAGCGGTGCTACATATTTCGCGGGAATTTCATAATACGGACGTACAGTTGTTCCAGTTCTCCACGGTCAATGATTGGAAACGAGGCTGACTCAATCTCCCCTGTCTTCTGACAGACGACACGTGTATTCAACATGGCGGCGTTCGAGGCCCTTTCTCGAATGGGGAAAATTTCTTTAATATTCATCTCGATTTTTCTATTCAACATGTATATAGCTACGGCGTCCACAATAAGAGGAGTGGCACTTACTAGTAAGTAGATTACGGCTTAATATGAATTTATTTGCTTATTTTCGACGTTTAATAAGGAAAGATAACATCTAGTACTGACATTACTGGACAGAAAAAAGTGACTATTGTCGCATTTTGATTTCTTTGCACAATGCATGTACCTCTCAACACGCAACAAAAAAAACTGCTATCTCAAGCACCTGATTTGATTTAATGGCAGTGTTATACACTTTAGATTTTTACAATGTAGAATTTCTTAAATTGGCGATGCGTGAAAATCGCATAGGCTTAATTATGCCTGCTTCCGATTTTTTTTCTTTAAATAATTGCGCTATCGGCTACAGTCATTCATGGTTTATAAGATGTGTGTCGCTGAATGCTGAAATCGTATCATTTTTAAAACCTATGGACAAATTCTCTCAACCCTGTAACTCCCAAGAGTGATCAAGATAGAAATTCTCCTTCCAATATCAATACAATATCAAGCAAACAAGTAGAGAGATATAAAAAAACAAATTCTCCCAACTTAGGTCCTAAGAATGGTATGGCAGATAGAGAGAAAATTACTAATGAGATCTTGGGAGTGAAACAGTTAACAGTTTCTTTGGATGCATTTCTTTGTTCACTGTTCTTGACCTCCAGGTGCCAGTAATTTGAATAGTGGATAATGCTATCCACTGGATAAATCCCTATCTGTTGTACAGTGCAGTACATTTCGTTCACATTTCTCTGCTGGATAGTGATATATCCATTGGATAGAGTTATCCGCCCATCTAATAGCCCATTTCCGATTTACCCTTGGCCTCATTTTCAAAATGAGTCCTGGTGGTCATCTTTTCATATGATTATGAGTTTTCATTCACATGCAAATTAAACTCATTTTCGCAAGAATGGTTGAGCACCAGGCCTTGTTTTGAACAAGAGGCCAAGGGTAATTTGGAAATGGGCTATTATCTGATCCTGGTCATTAGTAATGTTCTGATTTTTCTCCACCTGCCTGCTTGTCATTGTATTACAACTGTAAGGATTATTTGTATACAGATCATCTCTGGCTGGTGAAGAGTTAACTGGGGAGCCTGCACTGTAATCTGATACTGCATTCTTAAAGACTAGTATGTTCTTTTCAGGCAAAGGGAACTAGGAAATAATGTAAATGTATTTGTCTTTTCAACTCTCAATGAATAAAAGAAAAAGAGAATTAAGATATATCCCTGATGCTGAAATTTTCAGTTTGAACCACTCTATATTTAAAGTGTTTTATGACATTTTTTAAGCCATTGAAATGACTTTGATGTACAGTTCTTTTTCTTTTTGTGATTTCAGGGTTACCATTTTATGATCCATCCAAGGACTTCACCTGTTTGGATAAATCTGTGACTGTTCCATTTAGTAGTGTAAATGATGATTTTTGTGACTGTGCTGATGGGACAGATGAACCAGGTCTGTGCAACTGTCTATACTAATTCCAGCGTGAACTAGAAATGTCCTGTGTACTAAGGGGTCTAGAATGAAACAGTTGCAAAATTTCTCATCTCTCACTGCTATGATATTGGAAGGTTTAACTCCCAAACCTAAATTTGTAATATTACATTTAGGTTGATTTGTTGTTGTGTTTGAGTTTGTCATTGCTTTGAGAGTTTTTTCCCATCCCAAAATACCCCAAACCAACTTAGAACAACACTATATATCAAATTTTCCTTGTAACTCACTGTTGGTTTACAGCAATACATTTTGTAACAAATCAATTTTTTATTACTCTGCTGTTTCATAATTTTAAGGCACATCAGCTTGCACTAATGGAAAATTTCACTGTACAAATGCTGGCTTCAGACCCTTAAACATTCCATCTTCCAGAGTCAATGATGAATTATGTGGTATGTTGCTATCCTCTTTCTAAATAAATGGGCACTTTTGATGGTTAGCCAACATTTTTTTTTAATAATGCTCTATTATGACCATAATGCAAGGCTCGAAATTAAAAAAATTCCAAGTCGCCTTTTGGCAACTATCAGAGAAAAAAATGGTCGCCAAGTGCAAAAATGCAGTTGCCAGATAGTACAAGAACAGAAATCAGATGAGAGCCTAATTCAATTGGCATTCTTGTTCGCCTTCTGGTGGATTGTGGCTGCAATTGTGGGGTAGACCGAAATGCTCGATCTTGAATGACTTAAAACATGAAAACACAAAAGAAGAAACTCCAAAAGACTTTAGCATGACAATCTTACCTTAAGCAGTCAGCAAAAAAAGTAATGAGAACATTTCAGGGCTACTTTAGCAAGGAGAATATGTCACATCGCACGCAAGAAATCGTACAAAGGCATCAAACATTTATCAAACATGGCGGAGAGGCATTTAGTACCAGACCTCCTGTTCTCAATGGATTAATTTTAAATTCAGAAGCTTTTCAACAAAATATTGCTCCTGCGATCACCATGAAGAAGCCACTGTAATGTGTCGTCTCGGAAGATACAATTTGAAAGCCATTTCAAGTTTTAGCTTAAAGATAAACAGACTTAATTTGCATTTCCTTCGGCAGAAAAGCAGAAACGCATAAACGAGACTTAAGAAATTTTTCTCATCTACAATCTTTTATTTATCAGAGGAAGTTAGTTTAGTCACCAAAGTGGCGACTAAACTCGAACTTTTAGTCGCCAAGTTAAATGATTTAGTCCCATTGGCGACCATATCGGTCGCAATTTCGAGCCCCTGTAATGAATATCAAGACTAAACTTCCAAATTGTATTTCAGACTGTTGTGATGGTAGTGATGAATATGATGGTACTGTGACCTGTCCAAATACTTGCAAGTAAGCACACTCAAAAAATTTTCTTGTCACTGTTATGCAGGGCTGTGCTCTAGCAGCACCTAGTGGCCCTTGGCGCCTTAGTTTTGCTCTTGGGCGACTCAGGAATCCTATTTTTTTTTTTATAAAAAGCATAATGCTGGTCACCCTGGATTTCACAGTTTAAGAGCACTGGGCTCCCTTCAATTTTTGTTAGAGCACAGCCTTGTGTTATTTGTGATCTATATTTGTTCAAGAGAGGTCCGTGGTGTTAGAGGTCAAGGTCAAGGTCAAGGTCAGGGTCAGGTGATTTTGCAGTATGAAAATCCTGATAAGCTTTTGCTAGCTTGCAAGTAGTGTGGCCCTCATCATAAGAACTGTGGACCGGGTGTTAGGTTGCAAGGTAGTTAAAAGCAAAGGCCCTAATCCTTACCACCCTAACATCAGCATGCATATTCTCCATACTGTTCTCTATACATTTCCAAAGGTGCTGACAAAGAGAATTTGTTTTACAATCAAGAGCTTTTTAAGTTAATGGTCTTTTTCCTTATTCTCACAGCCTTGCTGTGTGATTCAGGGGTGATATTTTGAGGCAAAATTAGATGCTGAAGTCAAAAAAGGTTGAGCAAAATGAGTCGAGGATCTGGTACAAGTAAAGAGGCACCAGATCCCTTGCAGACCTTTAGCCAGCTGGCTTTGCTTAAGGCCTTGCCTTATGTAGGCAAAGAAACACTTGTACAACAGTGCTAATGATGAGGCCTGCCCCCAGACTGGGCTTTTGTAATGAAGCTCATGACATAACTAAAAGTAGTTTCTATATATAAACTTTAACTGGAGATAAGTTGTACCCTTTCTCTGTGAATCGCACTCAGTTTGCTAAACATTGACCATTGCTGACTTGAGCCGAGAAGAGAAAGGAGAGCAAGATGCCTGTTACCAATTCATTCAGTGCTGAATTCGTTGCCTGGGTGAAAGTTTGCATGGCAACATTTTATAACCTAAGGATTCAGGTTTTCTTTTTGTTTGTCTGTTTGTCTACCTCGTCTTTTCAGGTCAGCAGTCTCTCTTTATGTTTTCTGTAACTCTGAAGTAACATATTGGCTAGAATGGTGTGCAAATTTTGTCTATGAAAGGCACATGTATTTGTGACATCTTTTAGGGAACTTTATAAAGAGTTGTACCAAAAACAGAGAGAAGAAGCTGAACTGGCAAAGCAGGTTAGTGGATCAAAATCTAGAGTATCTGAATATCTGTCATATACTTGTGTGAGCACTTTTCATTCAGATTCCTTTACAAGAAAGATGAACCCTCTGAAATTTGCCTTGCTCCCAACATGTGGCTTGGTGGGTCAGTTGATAGAAGTGTCCAATTAGTACCTGGGAGATACCCTGTATGGATTTGAATCCTGTCAAAGCCTGAATTTTCAAGCTTCTTCCCTGCAATTGCTTAAATTGCAGTCCATCTGCAATTTGGATCATTTCTTTACTTGATGATATATGCTTTTCTTATCTTTTCTTTGGCTGCCATTTATGAAGTTTGATTTTCTTTTTAAGGGGCTTGCTATAAAACAAGATTACAGTCAGCAAGGTCAGGGAAAGAAAGAGGAAAGAAAGGTATGGTTACACCACTTGTGAATCCTTTAACCCCCCAAAAGTGATAAGCATCTGAATTCTCCCAACAGCATCACCCCTGAATCAAACACTTAAAGTCATGAGAATTAAGGAAATTATTATGAGGTCCAGAAACTCTGAATTATTAAACAAATTCTCCTCATAAGTACCCCAGGAAACATATAGAGAACAGTAACAAGAACTTGTAGGTTGTCAAGGGTTAAAATGTTCTGGTAACAAAGTATTTTTATGAAATTTCACTTACACTTGGTATTTATTTAAAATTTGAAAAAAATCAGATGAAGAAAAGGAACCAAAACATCCAAACTAAATTCTGAAATTTCACTTACACTCTGTATTTTATTACACAGCAAAAGCTTGAAGAATTGAAAAAAGAGCTGGAGGAGAAGAAAGCTATTGTTGAAAACTTGAAAGGTAATGACATATTTAAAAAGCTACTTTTTGTTGTTTTATGTGACAGAGGTGAAGTTGTAAATGCATTTTTTTGTGATGGCAGCTAAAAAAGAGGAAGTTGAAGCAGTTGAAAAGGAAGCTAAGGATAAACATGAAAAGGAGTGGGAAGGTGAGGGACAGTATGAAGTGGCATTCATGACATAAATACTGCAATAGTGTAAAATGTTTGTGTTTTGCTTAAAGAGATGCAGTGATCTTAAAATGTGCCGATCAACTCAAAGCAGGGGCATTTAAACACCATTCAAGGCTGTGTTCTAAGAAAAATTGAAGGGACCCGAGTACTCTGAAACTGTGAAATCCAGCATGCCCAGCATATTTTTTTAATCAAAAAACTCGGATTTCTGAGTTGCCCAAGAGCAAAGGGGCCTGGGACCACCAAGCCACTGGCTGCGGCTAGACCACAGCCCTGCTATTTTTGCCTTGTGGGATGGAATGTTAACAAACCAATCTATAAATGTTCAAATGCCTGAATTGATTGCCTCATAATCAGCATCGTATTTGTCTGGTGTTTTCGTTTTTAGAAACCAAAGCAAAAATTGTGGCAGAAAGAGATAAAACATCCGCTGAGACTTCATTCAAAGCTCTGGATACAGATGAGGATGGACGGTAATTCACTTTTATCATCTCCCACTTGCAATTTCCCTGCTTGTATTTTAATTTTTTTTTATGAAATTGAAGAGAATAATTCAGCACAAATTAATTGTTTACATGAAATCTAAGTGGAATTTCTTTCTTGTAGAGTGACAACACAAGAGGTTATTAACACTGATCTTCTGGATAAAAAGTATAATGAAGAAGAGGCCAGGGTAATGCACAGTTAATGCAATATGTTGAAACAAGAAAAATTTAGTTTGGATGTTTTGGTGCCTTTTCTTTTCCGATTATTTTCAGATTTTAAATAAATACCGGTATCAATATTTTTTCAGGAGTTGCTAGGAGGATATGAGGAGTCAGATTTTGAAGGGTTTTTTTCTGCATTATGGAGCACTTTCAAGGAAAAACTTGGTGCCAAGCAGGTATTGCTATCATAGCTTTTGTTAAGGGTATGTAGAGACTTTTTGCTTTTGGGAGAAACGTGGAGAATGTTTGTGAAATTTTATACCTATGTAACATAGATTTCTCTTTAAATCCCAACCTTGAGACAAAACAGAACTTAATACATTCCTACATAATGATGAAAACATCGCTAGTAATTTTTTTATAATTTCTTTAATGTCCTTGTTCTGTGATTTTAGCCCCAGCCACCACCAGTAGATGGATCAGTAACAACTGAGGGAGAAGATAAACCAACAGAAGGTTTGGTTTGAAATTTGTAATGGATGTCGTTTTATGTGACCAATATAGACAAAAGAGCGTGAAAATCAGAGTATAGAGTAATTTGGATATATCAACGAAGTTGAAATGGTAAATTGGCCACCGTAACGATTACAAAAGCTGACGTTTCGAGCGTTAGCCCTTCGTCGGAGCGAGTAGAGGAATTATGGGTTGTGTGTGCTTTTAAAGGCAGAAAATGGAGCTACGTTATTGGTAGGAAAAGTAGAGTATAGAGTACTTTTCAATTGACTGTCGAAAGTGATCAAGGATTGTACTGGTCTTACTTTACTTCCCTTTGGGATTGATCGAAAAAAAATTGCTCCATCCTCCTCAACAATCAGTTGCAAAACTCAAACCGATCGCAACTTGGCTCTCGTGTTTTCCCGCGCTTGAGGCAGTTTGCTTGTTTCCACCTAAGGGAAGATAGTACAGCGTATTCCTAGGTAATCAGAACATCCAGAAAATCACTAGGAGCCAATGAGAACTTGCATTTAAAGCGTGGGAAAACGCCAATGACCAAGATGCAGTTGGTTCTAGCTTTGCATCTGATTGGTTGAGAGGGGTTGGCGCATCTTTTCTGAGCCAATCAGACAGGGAGATAAAGCAAAACCAAAGCAGTCCATGAGTCATTTCGAATCTTTTGAAAATTGCTCCATTGGTTCCTTCTGACATTTTCCTTCTCCCTGGTTAGCCATCGTTACTACTTGAGTTTTGGTTTTACGGCACTAAGTCGAACAGGGCTCTAAACATGACCTATCCTTATCCAGCAGGTGATGTACTCGAGTCTCCTCCCCCTCCTCCTCCAGTTGATGAAAATTTTGATGATGAAGATCTTCCTGACGTTCCCGGTGAAGAAGAAGACGAGGATGAAGACGAAGATGATGATGATGAAAGAGACGAACACGTGGACGAAACCAAACAGGAGGCCGAGAAGAAAATACCTGAACAAAACCCAGAGGGTGCGTTAACCACTTAACTCTATAACACCCACAAGTGATCGACTTGTAACTTCTCCCTACGATATCCCTACATTGTCTACCAAACAGGTAATGAGAATACACAAACTTATCAGGTAGATGTTGTAATCTTAAAGTTACATAAATTCTCGAAACTAATTTACAAGCAAATATTTAGCAGCTAGGGGGGAGAATTCGTAATTAATCTTGGGAGTTACAGAGTTTAGAATATACAATGACTGCAATCTTATTAGCGCGCCTTTTGAAAAATTTTTTTACGAGGGCCGCAAGCGATGGCGCGAGCAAGTTTTCTGATTGTAGAATTCCGTTGTTTTTCAACTCACTAACTTGTCAATAACTTTGCAGATAGCAAAGATGATGATTTAAAGATGCCTGACTATGACGAGGAAACAAAAGCAAAAATTTCTGGTAAGTGGAAGGTTTATTGGTGCTTAAACATTGGTTACATTGTTGTTTGCAGTGTGCTTTCTGCTCTCGAACTCGTTTTAGTCTGACCTCTCGTCTCCGATCTTCGCGATCTTCCTCCCCGTGAAGAGGCTACGTTCTTCGGAAGAGGTTCGTGGGCTCATACATCCCGGCCAGTGGCTGCTCATAGAGCTTTGGTGTGAACCAAGCTTTTTTGGTTGACGCTAACAGTCTTCCGCTGTGGTATCTTTGCCAGGTCGAATTTTTTTTTTCTAGTGCCTTTTTTCCCTTCATTTCTTTTTTCTCCATATTTTAGCTGCTGATGATGCTAGAAAGGAGTTTAATGAGGCAGAAACAGCTTCAAACGACGCAGAAAGAGAAATCAGGTTTGAAGATTCTTAAAGAAGCTGTTCGTTCGGTTGCTCGCTCGCTTGTCCGTTCGTCCGTTAGTTCGTTACTTTCTCCGTTTATTTTTTAACTTTCTCGTCATACCGTAGCTGTTTATGCATTCATCGAGTTGTCATATTTTTCCCCCATTTTAGCGACCTTGAACGAACGTTAAACCTGAACCTTGGTCAGCAAGAAGAGTTTTCACCCCTTCAGGGACAATGTTTTGAATACACCGACAGAGAGTAAGTAATACAATGCCAGACTAAAAACATACGAAGTCCCTCCGGAATTTAGGGGATCATGTTCGGTGCATGGGGGGATAAGCTAGGTGCAGGGTGTCTGTTTTGCCCTTCTAGTATGCAACAGACCTGAGCCGAGTCCAAGACTTAAGTAGCACTTTTAAGAAATTATTTGATTGTTAATTAAAATAATGGGGCAAGTTCTAAAGAACCTGTGGTGCTGTGTAGATGGGAGTAACAAGGTAATTGGATTTTTCAACTGAGTCGATAAAGTAAATTGGCCACCGTAAAAAGTTTCAACGCTGACGTTTCGAGCGTTAGCCCTTCGTCAGAGTATTGTATTGTTGGTGATGGTGTTTTTTTTTTTTTTTTTTTTTTTTTTTTTTTTTTTTTTTTTTTTTTTTTTTTTTTTTTTTTTTTTCTGTTTTTTGTTTGTTTGTTTTTTTATTTCTGCATGGAAAGTAGATTATTTCAGCGTGAAAATCCTGTTTATGCTAGTGTGTGTGTTCACAATTGTTAGGTATGTGTACAAGCTGTGTCCATTTGACAGAGCTTCACAACAGCCCAAAGGTGGAGGCTCAGAGACTTCTTTGGGGTGAGTTCACTGGGAGCCGTTGAACCCAGGCCAAAATGGTGTCTGTTGAATGCTTTCAACCCTCTTACATCTTCCCAAACGAGAAGAAAAACTTGTCATTTATTAAACAAGAATTAAAACTTGTCATTTATCAAACAAACCACTCTTTTTATTAGGTGTTTGTGAAGCTAAATAACGAATGCATGAACAGTTTATAGAGTTATTACCAGTGATCAAAGATGTGAAATTCACTCGTGGTCGTACCATTCGCAGAACGCACAATATGCTGCCCAAAAGCGTGATTACGTGGAGAAAAATTCTCTTCTGGGTTTATCAATCACCCCCTTGTATTCAGTTATTGTTAAAGAAGGAAAAAAACGTTTAGGGCCATCATTGAAACCTTATGAATAATTGGAACTAAGTTAATCTGAAAGTCGCAGATCTGGTAACCTTGTAATTTTGAGGTGAATGTTTTGTAGGACGTGGGGAGAATGGACTGGAGACCCGAATAAGTACAGTCGTATGAAATACTCTGGAGGACAGAGCTGTTGGAACGGACCTAGCAGATCAGCCGAGGTGAGTAAAGATTTGCGTTAAATGTCACCTTCAAAGTTTACGAACTAGTCTTAGACGCTTTTCTAGAGGACGTGGTGAAACCGAAGCCAAGTAACCAAAACGACCACTCAGAACGAATGAAATATCCCAAGGAGCCAATGAGAACTCAAGTTGAGACGAGTAAACAGTCAGAAGCGCGGGAAAACGCGAGTAACCAATCGTGCTTGGTTTTAGTTTTGCATCTTAGTTGAGCCGGTGGCGTGATTTTTTTTACCAATCACATTGCGTACTAAACTAATGTAGTATTGTAGTCCATACTTGATAGAAAATTCCTCAAATGCTGTCCTTTTATTGTCGTACCATCGTTTACCCGTCTTCTACAAGCAATTGTTTAGAGAGAGTATTCAATACTTTTTTGCGACTCAGTCCCTCTTAAAACCTAACCAAAGGGATCAAAAAATGATTACGTTTTCCTGATAATTTCCTTTACCCATGGAAGAGTTTCAACGAGACTCGAACTCATAACCTGCAAAATTCAAGAACAAAGTGAACTTCCTTATGACACAAGGTCTAGCGAACCCGGCGAATATGTTTTAGTTATACAGAGAAATGTTCCCTTTTCATTGCAGATAATCCTTCGTTGTGGCTCAGCCAACGAGCTCGTACAAGTATCAGAGCCGAGCAGATGTGAATATCTCATGGAATTTAAAACTCCCGCAGCTTGTCAAGACATTGATATAGAGGGCGCTCATGCGCATGAACATGGCGGAGAACTGTAATGTGAAAGGACTTATTTGTACAGAATTTTCTACCAGAAACGAAACAAATATTGATACTGTAAATTCTGAAAACTCTGATTTTTTCATAATTACCAGAACTCAAGTTCTTGCAGGTCTTAAAGGGTGTTAACTGATCAGATATAAGCGGTAACTGACTTCTCCCAGCTGGTGCAAAAAAAAAGAAAGTAGAGACCTTAAAGGAGAACAGTGGTGCTAGGATCATACAAACTCCAGATTCTCCCCATTGTTGGTATAAGAAATGTGTGGATAAGTGCAGTGAGATTCTATATGTCGATAACAGGTCATGATCTTTCAATTACAAAAACACAAGTTAAAACAGGCGTGGTGAGATATTTGATACATGGATACCTCACGAGTTAGGAAATGATGAAGTTACTTGCACCAAATCAGGAACTGCAACTAAATCTCAAGCTGGAATGTCAGACCTCAATTGGCATGCGAATTCGCCTTGCTTTGTAGTTTTAATTTTAATAAAAACGATTCCCTTTGTTTGAAATAATGATTTAAAATGGAGTGATTTTGTATTGCTTTTTTACGACATAAATGGCCACCTTTGGGGCGGTTAAGAAACGTTTCTGGTCGAAGCAGGGTAAAGTTTACTGGGGGATTCATTGTTTATATTTGTTTCACAAATCAGCGTCAATTGAAATGAAAGGCAGAGCCAGGAAAGATTGCTATGGGTTAAGTGGGTTGCGCGGTGTTTGTACGTCTTTTTCCAAGCTCTTAGAGTCAATCCCTCTCCCGTCAGTCTTGTGAATGAGTCTGTATACCCCCTCCCCGTGGTGTTAGAGCTTTATAATGAGGCCAACGCGTGAGTCCCATGTTCGTTTCAGTCTCTTCTCAAGCCATTTTTACTCCTAAATTGTCAGCGGTTGCAATTTTACTTTCAACATGGCGGCTAAACTTGCAGATTTTTGCGATCGCACATTTGAGAGAGAAATCGAGTGTAAAGAAGGAATACTTAAGATAAAGCAAGCTGAAGTAGGTGACGAAAGCTGTGTTGTATGGGATGCTGCCCTAGTTCTCGCGAAATATCTACAAACAGAGCACTTTTGTCCCAAGGAACACCTCGTGAATAAGCGAGTTGTCGAACTTGGTGGCGGCACTGGTGTTGTTGGACTAATAGCTGCCTCGTGCGGGTAATATACAACTTCATTGTAATTAAAAATGGTTATACCTTTTTTTATAAGTATCACATCTTTACTTTTTCTTCACGACACCCGTTCATTATCCGATGCCTTTGTCCGGCCAACTCTATGTGATGGAAGGGTATGGAACATAATTTGCTTGCCCTCCATTGCTTGCCTTGAATGTGTATGCATCTCAAAGTAGAGGTATCCACACTAAAGTTGGCTCCACTTAAAGCAGTTATCCAACTTAGAGAGGTATCCATGTTGTGGAAAGGTCCACTCACGATAGGTGGGCACCATAGGTGTATTTCCACTTTTACAAAGGTGTGTACTTTGGACAAATGTCCGTCTTTGAAAGTTGTCCACCTAGAAGGGCTTGCTACCCTCAGAGAGTTGTCCACCTAAGGGGGATTTCTAGCTTGGAAAGTTGTCCATGTATGAAAAATGACTGTCTACTTATTTAAACTAGTTTTCAACATGAGAGCTTTGCAATTTTTAACTGAGTGTGTCTCATGTGTTTTCCCCTTGAGGAGTGTTGTTTGTTTTAGTAACATATGTATTCAAAAAGTAAGTTGTGTAGAAGTATATGGTTTTACGTCAAATTATTTAATTTGCAGTGCACATGTGTGTTGTACAGACTTGCTTGAGGTTGTTCCTCTTATTGAACTGAACAAAACCACTAACCAGCATATGATCACTGGAACATTCACAGCTGCCACCTTAAAATGGTAAGAAGCCTTTTTATCAACCCTGTTCCTTTCCATTTCATCATGCATTTCTACATGGCAGGATGTTTGTGAAATTTGTCATTTTAATTCTGATGTTGCTCAAGACTGCAAGCAGGTTTTTTTTGGCCCTGCTGCCCAAGCATCTCGCAGGTTTCTTACAAAGTTCCCAGGGGTCAAGCTGGCTGGCTTTGATCTTCACCTTGATGTCTATAAGGGATCTGGCAAAAGAAATGAACCAGACAGATCGTATACCTTCCACAGGCTTTACAAGAAGCCTGCAAGATGCTCATAAAGCAGGCCCATAAAACTCTGTCTTATGTCTGTTTCTCACGTCTGAAAACTTAGGGGTCAAGATGTGTCAGCATTTCAACCCTACCCAGATCTTGTCTTAGTCGCTGATTGCATTTACTATGAAGAGGTTAGAAAACTTTTGTTTAACTATGTATTCTCTTGCTAATGCCCTTAACCCACCCATGTGATCTTTTTGGCTCCTTGCTCTTATCCCTTTACACTCTAACATTGATATGGATATTCTCCATACTGTGCTCTTTACATTTCCTAAGGTGCTAACAAGGAGAATTTGTTTAACAATCAAGAGCTTGTGTAGTTTGTGATCATTTCCTGTATTCTCCTGACCTTAATGTTTGATTCAGGGCTGATATTGTAAGGAAAAATTAGATGCTAGTCACTCAGAGGGTGTAACGATGTCACCCGGACGGACATGTAATAAACCAGATTTAACTATAAAAAGAAACTACAATTTAGTCAGCCGCCATGACACCTAGAAAGCATGGCTCACACAACTATCCATGATCCTTTACATATTTACAATGTCCAAGAACGTCCGTTAACACAACTTCTGGTAAGCAATACTATCAAAACATCACAGAGGGGTCATAAGGCAATGGAGGCAATTTGTCCAAATAGTACAGTGGAATCTACTAGGGTTGTTTTCTTGTTTTATTCAACAAGAGAAGTTTTTTAAAGATGTTCAGGTCTTAAATAAAACACATCTCTTGTCTGTACAAGAATATATATGGAAGTAAAATCTTATCCTACAATAGGAATGAAATTGAAAGCAGTGCATCTTGCAGTCAGAAGTGAAATACTGACTTTGTGGAGGCATAAGCCAGATTCGGATCACAGGGAGACAGAGACTTAGAAAAAAATACTCAAATACCTTCCTCAACTTCATATCCTGAGCTCTCCTCTCCAAGTTTAACCCTTTTTTCCAGGTTTGTAAATTATAAATAGCCAACTGGTTTGCCTCGTGCCAGTTGGGATGGTTAACAATTTATGTTCAATATGAATTATTTATTTCTGTTGTTTATTGTGGGCCTCCTGGAAAGTAGCTTTTTGCTAAGTGTGGTGCCACATTAAATAAAACTTGATGAAATAGATACATATATCTTATTAGACATTTTGTTGTGAATTATCACTGAGTATTTTTACAAGTTGTGCCGTGTTGTGACAAGCCTGTAGGGCGAGTCAAGATACAAAGAACAAGTAAAAATACTCAGCGATACTACACAACAAAACATGTAATAAGAGATTTTATTATCCAATGTGCCAAATTGTTATTTCAGTGTGGGTGAATTTTGCAGATATTTTTGCAGTACAAATATCACATGATATTTGTACTTGTCTCACACATTATTTGTACTCTACTAAGCACAGTTGGATGATAACAGCAAATGGTGGCAGAAACTTGACAGAATGCTTCATTGATGGGTTTCCTATGATTGAATCCTCCATCACACCTGCCAGTCTGTGAAACTGTATGTCTTGATGTGTCTGAATGTTTTGAATATTTTATGTGTTATTAGTCTTTAGAACCCCTGGTGTCAACACTTTGTGATCTGAGCAATGAGAACACAACTGTTTTGATAAGCTATGAAGAGAGAGCAATGGGTAAGAAGCCTCAGCTGGAGAAAAAATTCCATCAGGTGAGAAACTTCAGTTCAAGGGGTGTGGGGTATGAAGCCCCCAAAATAATTAACAAATGGTAAACACCACAGCGTACACTATTGAGTTATGGATGCACGCGGGAGGTTGCTAAGCACGAAAGAAGCGTAAGAGTCGCTCGAGGCATAGCCGAGAGCGACTCTAGCTTCTTGAGTGCTTAGCAAACCTCCCAAGTGCATCCATAACTCAATAGTGTACGCTGTGGTGTTTACCATTTGTTTTATAACATAACATTGATACATTGTAGCGAAAGAGTTCCCTTTTATTCAACAAATCTTACGCGACCAGAAAAAACAAGCGCGCGCGGAAAAATAGTCTTTCCATTTGCTCAGGTCAGCAGCGTACACCCATGGGCAAATGGGGGACGCTAAATTGACCAATCAGAGCGCGCGCTTTACTTTGGTTAAGTTATAATGTCCATTGCACTTCTCCTTCTGTTTTGCTAAGGGAATACACAAAACTTTGTAAGGAAATCTAGCAGCCCATCAGAAGAAGCTGAGAACTCTAATAAGTTGCTACTGTTGAGTTCCAAAAGTAAAGGCCTGTGCCTTGAGATAGCCTGCAAAACAGGCGTCAGTTTTCGTGAATAAGGCGAATGTATGCGAACGCGAGGAAAGCGCGAAGGGCGAATCGCGCGCTAAGGGCAAAACACGCGCGAGGGGTGATACACCGTAGGGAGAGGAGCGCAGCTTTTTCTCCTTTTCTTTTCGCCCTCCCTCTCGCCCGTGTCTCGTTCCTCGCGCATGTTCAGCCCTCGCACGTGTCTCGCTCCTCACGCATGTTCAGCCCTCGCACGTGTCTCGCTCCTCCCGCATGTTCAGCCCTCGCACGTGTCTCGCTCCTCACGCTTGCTTTGCACTTGCCTCCTCTCACCTAAAAAGCACAGAGAAATGACGCTTGTTCTGCAAGTTAACCTGAGAGCAATGGCCAGTCAAATTATAATTCCTTTCTTATTTTCTTCTTCTCAGCTTGTTAAAGAACATTTCGTAGTGGAAGAAATTCCAGTAGAACAACAAGACCCGGTTTATCACAGCCCTGATATTCACCTTCTAAAGCTTAAACGAATAGTTTAAGGTGTGTGCAGTGATGATACGTGGGACTCGGTGCTTAGCAAGGTCTTAAGTCGGTTGGAGAAGAATTCCGTCCCTGTACTGCCTCCTGAAGCCGAACAGGACGACAGCGTGTTTCTATGCACTCGTGAACCTCCCCGGCTCGAATACTGAGGCCTTCTTTGATAGTCCTTCGTCGTTTGAAAGAATGAAACCCGCCTTTCTTGGGCATGACAGTGGACTCGAAAAACAGCGCAAAGAAAACGTGTTCCCTGAAATTCGACCATTTGGAATTACCTAATATATCGGCATCAACGCTAAGCAACGGGAACAACTGCAAGGATTTGAAAAGGTGTGCGCGATTTAAGAGTTAACACCGGCTTGCAAATTTACATCCTTGCCTGGAAAAGTCGTACAGTTACAGAAGAGTTCGTTTGAATCGTCTCAAAGTCGCAAAACTGGAAAAAGGTTTGGAAATTTTGTGTCAAGCTTGAGACACTGAGATATCTGTTACTTCTAGAATTTTTCGAAGTCTTGGAGTAGTAAATGAAGAAAGTCTTGCAAATGTTTGTCCCAACTTCTACATCAACCACGAATTTAGTCCACAAAGCTCCAGATCGGCCAGAAATATTTCAGCGGCATTTATGCTCCTTTTGTAAGTGAAAATGCGCTACATCACTCCACTTCTGAGTGGCCCTACATACACTACTTAGTCCTCTTTTAACATTATAGATATTTCTTGTAAAATATTGCAACAAAAATTGAAACACTGGTGTCGAAGCTTGAATTTTTTTTCTCTCAGAGAAGAAGCAGTGTAGTTTCAGTTGACCAGAAGCCAATGGCTTTCCTGTCAATGCGCTTTTAGAGTTGTAACGTGTAAATGTCGTCCAATTAGTCGTCCTTTTCTCATCTGTACCAAAATTAAACCAGCCTAAAGAACAACTATTGCTTTTGTGATTAAATAAAGCGCGTAAAGATCAAGTCTTCTTGTCGTCTCCTTGGTGATGAAGCTCTCCCCTTTGTAACAGTTATGTGACGTTTTGCGCACGTCAGGCACGCGTCTCAGCTCAGTGCCGTTTTACGCAAGTAAGACGCGCGCGCCTGAAATAAGGAGCGCGCGTCATTCAATAAAAGGACTTGAGAGTCACGTAAGTTCAGTGGTACATACATACATCACCTTTATTTCACCTCTGATTTACAAGAGTAGCTATATAGCTAATTTCTCCGAGAAAGAGAAAGAAAATTAAGTAAATAGAATAAATGAAAACAAATAGTGTCGTATATTATATACAGTACATTACACTACTATTTACATAAGTAACAATTACTTTTATGTTCGAAGGAAATTTAATGTTCGAAAGAAATTTGACAATTTACTTTGGTTCTGAACCTGGGAAAGCGAAGCGAAGGGTTAACGCTCGAAACGTCAGCTTTCTAACTCTACGGTGGCCAATTTACAATTTCAACTTAGTTGATATTACCAAATTACCTGGTATGTAATCCTAATTCGTCTAGTAGTAATAGTAGTAATCAAAGTTTAATGTCTTTACGTGGGGCATTGTTACCCATATTGCCCGAGCCAGAGGCTCATGTCAGGAACGCAAGACAACAACCCACCCATCACACCCCAGGGGAGGACATCCATCACACAGTAATCCCGTGCGGGGGAAATTAACGTCTCCTACCCCTAACCCTGCAGGAGACGGGACCTCCATTTTTTCGTCCCTATCCGAGAAGAAGAATATCTAAACCATTTCTTGATGTTATAGAAAGGCAGCATATTCTTCTCAATTATTTTAAGACCTTGAGTGTTGTTCCGGCCGGGGTTCGAACCCTCGACCTCCCGTCTACCATAAGATCTCCTCTTACTGCAATCTGATTCCTAGTTCTTGTCTAGTTCCTAGATTTGGATGACGTTTCAAAAAGAAACACTTGTTAGAGACCATTGTCTGAAATGTTATGGATGGACGGTATGGTACCAACATTATACAGCATTCATGAATGTTACATGCCACCGCTGTTTGATTGCGGGCGTAATTTTTCTTACAAATGTAAATTTTTGTGTCTGCTGAGAGAGGATTTTGAGCGGAAAATCTGAAAAAGAGAACCGAATGAGCCACTCGATCACCTCAAATCCCTACTCTTAAGGTCGTACATTTGCGTGAAACTGAAAACAACTGCTGCAATGGACAAGTTCAGTAAACTTGTAGTGGGGATAAAAGTCGACATTCAACGGACTGATGGTAGGCTAGGTGTAGTAACCAAAGTGTTGTGTACAGTTTACGACAACTTTTTAGCCTTGACAAAGACTCAACCTATGTTGACTTATTTATACATCTTCGTTTTCTCTTGTAATTAATCTTCCGTAACGATTTTTGATTCTTTTAGAGTTTACTTTCAATATTTAGATACCCGCGGGCGGGTTTATAATTTTAGTACCCTTGTGTGATCGATCGCGTTTATTTGTCAACGGCTAACCAGTCTTCATATACTGTGTGTTATCAACTCAAACTATAAACTTTTTCCCATAGTAACGCATCTTTTCTAAATAATAATTTACCTACAGGATTTACTCTCTTAATCAAAGATCTGCCTCCTTATACTATGTTAATTTTTATGATGACGTTTAGGACTAAATACGGTTGCCCAGGTGTACATTTTAACCAAAATATCAATGAGAGTGGTGTTCATCGATTATTTACCTTTGCAATAATTAAAATATTATGATTACTGATTGAAACAACGCTTCCGCCGACTGATAGCATTATGGTCAATGTACTCCCCCGGTGTTTTCCAAGAATATAAGTATTTGATCAATTTGTGTGTCGATTTGGGCTGGCTTTGTCAAAGTGTCGAACTGGCGAGCGTGTAGGATATAGCTTATATTTAACAATTATTCATCAAAGGCGAGGTGAATATCGTCAAATAATCCCCGAGACGAAGTCGAGAGGATTATTCGACAATATGCACCGAACCTGAGGCGAATAATTATTTTAGTATAATTTTAGAACTGAACAACAGAGAAATTTCTAAAATCATAACATTTTAGTAATTTTTATGGCAAGAGTACCATTTTACCCCATACATTAATTATGCATTCAGACTAGCAGACTTTGTTTTTAAAGTTTTTTCGTGAAAGACAAAGAAGTGGAATGCATAATTAGTGTATGGGGTTATATGGTACTCTTTCCATTTTTATTAACATTTTATTTTAACATATTTTATATAAACTGCATGGAGCAGTTTATATAGCATCATATAAGGAACCGCTCGACCAATCAGACTGCTGGAAACTCTTTGCTCAGCTCTGAAATTATGCTAAAAACATTTATAATAGTTGATTTAAAGGTAAAAAACTAAGTCTATTACCCCGGTTTTTTTTTTTTTTTTGTTTCTTTGTAAAGTTTCTATGGGTCAAAAATTCTCAATCATTTTAAAAGACGTAGGTATATGTTACCTGGTCAGCGTGTTTTGCCTTATATATCTAGGAGAAATATATTGTTTTTGATCTGGATATTCTGATTTTGATAGGAATTTTTCTCGGTAGTAAATTCATTAAAATGAAAATGATAAGAATAAAATGGGTTATGCTATATTTCCTAAGCTGGTATTTACTGCATTTAGCACCCTTGTGCCAATTTTGGAGACAAAATTTTGTAAAATTTTTACAGATTAAAATCAGATGAATAATGATAATTAAGAAAACATCCCAGCTGGTGGGTCACAAACAAGGCTGCTACTTACAAAGCACAACAAAGAGGTCAGATTATGGAGTGTTATGAAACAAACTGGGTGGCAGAGTGGTTAAGGTCAACTTCTTAGAAATTAAGGTTGGAAATTCATGAAGGTAACAACCTTGGTCAGAGGCCTCGTAACATATATTATTGTTTTTCTGATAGGCCGTGTTCATTCATCCATGATAAGTGGTATTAACCTGGACACTAAAAGTGTGACTGTGGAGTGGTATGAAAATGGAGAAACAAAAGGGAAAGAGGTGAAAAAATACATGCACAATTATTATTGATAATAGTTGATCATTTGAAAGAGATTTTTCTTTCTTCTTCTGATTACTGACTGTCGTATCAAAATGTAGAATGAGTTTTACAAAGCTGTTTACTATTTTATTTCCTTAATACAGATTGAAATTGATCAGATCTTTGCTCTAAATCCAATGCTTGTTGTTCAACCCAAACCAAAATCCACTCCATCCAACAAAAGAATATCAACCACACCCAGTAACAAGGTAGGAAGGGCAAATGTTTTCCTTTGTCACCTTGTTCATGTCATTGGTGACTGAATATTGCTCTCTTTTTCTGTAGAATGCAAGGAATGAAAATAACAGTGCTCCTTCACCAAAAGCACATCCACCATCAGGTTGTTGTTGAATATAAAATTTAATAAAAAATTGATGAAGTGTTGTTAAAGAGGGGGTTATTATCTTTTCAGTGTCTTGTTACTCTGTAAATAACTTTTTTTTTTATTTAAGATTAGAAATATAGCTAAGTACATTGGTTTCTCGCAGCAAATAGCTTATGAACTAATCAAGGTGGGGAGATCTAAGGACAGTTTACCAGTACAGGATTTACCTGTAGATGGACTAACAATAAAAGCGCTATTATTCAGTAAATAGAATAAGCATAAAACAGAGCAAGTATATTAAGATTACGAAAAGAGGCTAAGGCTGTAAAGACCTGTTTTCAAAATTTCTTCTTATCCTTGGAAGACCATTTTCTTCATTGAGCTGGCTCCAGTTGTTCAAAAGGCGGATAACGCTATCCAACGGATAAATTGCTATCCAGCAGGTAAGTGTTACCAAAACATGCTGCGCTATCCACTAGATAGAGATTTATCCAGTGTATAGCGTTATCCATCCTTCGAACAACTGGGGCCTGATGTTGAAATAAGAAATAAGGTGGCAAAGTGGCAGCACACTGGTGCAAGTATTTGGTATGGTCAGCATCCAGGATGTCATACTCTGGATGCTTAGGAGCACATTGAAGACTTGGCTTAGTCATTGCATTGTGTTCTTAGGTTAGACACTTTGCTCTCACAGTTCTCTCCTCCAATGTGGAGTGTACATGAGTACTAGCACACTGAGCCAAAATCTGACAAGCAAGAGAACAGGAGAACATGAGAGGAAGGAGAGCAAGGGAGCAGCAGGCATAGGAACAGGGGTGCATGGGAACAGGGGTGCATGGGAACAGGGGTGCATGGGAACAGGGGTGCATGGGAACAGGGGTGCATGGGAACAGGGGTGCATGGGAACAGGGGTGCATGGGAACAGGGGTGCATGGGAACAGGGGAACATTAGAACAGGGGGACATGGAAACAAAGGATATGGTAACTGGGGACATGGAAATTGGAGGGCATGGGAACAGGGGGACATGGGGACATGGGAACTGGGAACATAGCAGTAGGAGGGCATGGAAATGGAGGAACATGGGCATGGGTGACAGAAGGGATGGGGAGGGACTGGCAGAGTGGACACAAGGGTGAGGGGGAATAATAGACCGGGGCACAGGAGGACAGGCAGAGTGGCAATATTCCTAGTTAGTAAGGGAACCAGCTTATTCACATTGTCAACCTCTTGCCCTAATTGCAGGCTGAATCTTTTTTTTTTTTAGCCAAGGTTGAACGTCCTATGGCTCTTAACCTTGCCAATGATGATGACGGAGGCTCTCAGATGGAAGTAGCACAGAAAGATAGCGCTGAGTCTTATCCAGGTACAAACAGCACCTTTTTGTTCTGTTATCACAGTTTGTTTTTATTTGTTTTCCAGGGAAATAAATTAAAAAGCCAATATACATGTACATCGAGTTTGCTCCTCTAGACCAATATATCTGGTTGAATTTTTCTAGTGAACAGAAGACGCTCCAATTGTGTTAAGGAAATCGAGAGATTGAAAAAGAACAGAGAGGAAAGAAGGTAAGCAAAGATCTGTTGGGAGCAAAAGAGTTAAAAAAGCATGATCAGTTGATCAGAATGAGATTCACGAATCTGGTCAGTGTTCACCCAATGAAAAATCTTTGGGTATTGAATTTTGATGACAATTTGAATTTTGACTTTGCTTTTTGTCCTACGTAGAGCACAACAACAGGAGCAAAGAGAAATGAAACTGCGACTACAGCAAGAGGTGGATCCTGGAAATCCTAGTTGGGAATTTATACAAATGATAAGGTGGGTCTGAACTGTCCATTTTACTTTCTTTTCTCTGTTTTTGTACAATTTTCTCTTGAATGTACAGTCAATCACTTTTTTCACACAAATAATAGAACATGAAGTGACTAATGAAGAGCCTTTTTTTCAATCAACAGGGAATATCAAGCTGATTTGGACTTTAAAGGACTAACGATGTCTGACCCGGTAGGTTTTTTAAATTCTTAATTAATTTTCTTGTTCTATGATGTGAGTGGTCAAAGGATGATTACGGTGATGAATTTTAATCCTCTAACTCCCATTATCAGATTGTTCATTCAACCTTTAGCTGCTTTACATTTCCTTGTAATTAGTTGTGAGAATTGGGGGATAGATCAACTGAAGTTAACAACCTCCACCTGATAAGTTTGAGAATTCTCATTACTTGTCTGCAGGATGCCATATGGCCAGTATCCTGAAAGTTACTCTGTCAATAATGACTCATCTTTTTTTGTTTTCTTTTTTCTTTTTTTTTTCAAACAGGTGACGGACCATCAGATTTGTGTTTGTGTCCGCAAAAGACCTCTGTCAAAGAAAGGTAACGGGAACTGTCAGGGTGTATCAATAATGTTGAAGTCTTGAGTACCAGGCATTGCAGGATAGTTGATAATGATTTTAAGTCCCTTTTGTCTGTTTTATTTTGTTGTTCTTCCAATGAAAATGTTAGGCTCAAAATCATTGCGGTCTTATCATTAAATACCTTACAACCTGTTTCAATTTTATGTCTGTTCAGAACTCAACAAAAAAGAAATTGATGTTATCATTGTACCTAAGGGTGACTACTGTGTGGTAAGTGAAAGCAGACTTGTTCAGTTGTGAGCTCAATTGTGTTTGGGATGTGCAATAGGTGTGCCGACTCAGTTTTCGGTAGGAATATGTCATCTTTTTTACCTTGATTTGATGCTCATTATTTTTTTTTTTAAGGTTCATGAACCAAAACTGAAAGTTGACCTCACAAAATACCTGGAGAATCACAAATTCTGGTAAATTTTTTTGTTGTGTTGTTTTAGATTCAGAACAATTACAATTTTTTTTTACTTTTCCATGCATTGTTTCACTCGTTTTCTCAAAACTTTGCGTTTTTGAAAAAAAACTTTCTTGAAAAATCAGTCTTTCACTCTCGTTTTGTAAAACGTGTTTAAGGTTGGTTTCATTGAACTAAAAAAGACAGCCTGGCTGACATTTGAGTTGTGTGGTAAATACCAGTCAATCAGTTGATATCAAATCATCGTATAAAATGTTTCACAAATACCTCCTCTGTAATAGTCCTTTTTACAGTTGTGGGCTTGGTGGCCAAGCCTTTGAACGGGAGTGAGGCTAAGGGTGACCTTGTTATGATAGAGATGTTGCTGCTTTTCAAATGCAAATTTCTTTGTTATCATGCTAACTAGATACAGGTCTCTATCACAACAGAGTCACCCTTAGCCTCACTCCTGTTCAAAGGCTTGGCCACCAAGCCCACAACTGGAAAAAGGACTAATTTGGATATATCAACAAAGTTGAAATGGTAAATTGGCCACCGTAACGATTACAAAAGCTGACGTTTCGAGCGTTAGCCCTTCGTCGGAGCGAATGTAAAAAGGACTATTTAGTCATCTGCGGTTGCTGACTGGGTCACACATTGGTCTCTTCCCATGCCTTTGACAGAATAAACTCTGTTTTTTCTATTCTGACCTCTTTTTTATTTTTATTTCCAAAGGTTTGATTACGCTTTTGACGAGAATGCCAATAATGAATTGGTATACAGGTACGTCTCGGAGCAATTTCAATGGAGCGTCGAAGGAATCCGAGATTGCATCGGTTTACTTAGACTCCGCTTTGTGATTGGTCAAAAAAAAACTCGCGCCACTCTCTCAGCCAATCAGATGCAGTACTAAAACCCAAGTCTTCTAAATCATATCTTTAACCTAGCCATTGCCTTTTGTTATCCCAGATACACGGCCAAGCCGCTTGTGGACACGATATTTAACCAAGGAATGGCGACTTGTTTTGCATACGGCCAGACAGGCAGTGGAAAAACTCACGTATGTTTTACAGCGCATCGCAGTCTTTCTAATAACTTAGATTGGACATCCAAGTAGTACAAGCTGCTGAAAATATCAACGTAACTCCCTGGAGGAACCAAGTTATAAGTAATTTTTTTACATCCAAAATCTGTGTATAAAAGTTAAATTACTGATTTCAGTCCAAGACCATTGGACTTCAGACTTGTCTCTGGTGCTAAAGGCTGCGAAACCCGCTAAACATAGTAACATTTTACCACTTGAGATTGTGGAAAATTAATCAGGGGTTTGGGGCATTCGTCAAATGCACCTGGTGTAACATTAAAGCATTTGGGGGTGTTGAGTGGTGCACTTCGCACTGGCCAGGCATTCAGCAAAACGGAGCGAAATAGTAAACGGCGCGGTAGAACCGGCAGAGCGAAAACCGAAAAGAGATTTGGGTCGGGTAGTTCATTACGCCACCCGACCCAAACCTTTCTCGTATTTTTCACTCCTTCGCTTCGTTGTATTAAATGAACGCCTTGAAGTTAAGTTTTATTCGTTTTTCTTTCTGTTTTTTTTTTGTTGTTGTTGTTGTTTGTTTGTTTGTTTTTTGCCTTTTTTATCACTACACGTTTCTTGTACGAAAGAAGTAGATGTGATTATTATTTTGATGTAATGAAACATTTCTTTCAGACCATGGGCGGTACTTTTACTGGAAAACAACAGGATTGTACCAAAGGAATATATGCTTTGGCCGGTTTGTCGTACTTTTCTTTCTTATGATTTCTTCTCAAAAGGGTCAAAACTTTTATGGCTTGCACTCAGAATGCAAGACGTACGTAAAGGCGGGAGGCGCAAATTCTTGCTTTGCACAACCGAGGTTCATAAATAGCGGTTTTTCAGCAGAGTATATCATAAGACCAAAACAGCGTTGCCACAACAGCCAATAGGAACAGTTGAAGATATCGTAAGAAGCCAATGACAACTCGTTTTTGCCTGAAGCGCGGGAAAACGTGAGAGACAAGACTGCGGTTGGTTTTATCTTTACACCTGATTGGTTGAAAAGATGGTGCAAGTTTTCTCGACCAATCAGGGAGTAAATTGAAGTAAAAGCAATGAAAACCCGGATCACTTTCAATATTTGATTAAAATATGCTCAGTGGTAACATACGAATGAGTAATTTAAGTTTCGTTTTGTACCATAACTTTTCCCATCATGTCACCCGGGCGAGTTATACTTTTCATTCTCTTTCCTTGCAGCTACTGATGTGTTCAAGTTGAGCAAATCTCCTAAACACAAAAACAAGGATCTTGTTATTTCAGCCAGTTATTTTGAGATCTACGGTAGCAAGGTAAACTCATTACAACTTGTACTGTTGTTGTTGGGGAGTAAGGACTGGGTTCATTAAGTTGGTTTGTTAATGGTTTCTCTTTATGTGCCTTAGGTTTTCGATTTGCTTAACAAGCGGAAAAGGTTGCGAGTTTTGGAGGATGGAAATCAGCAAGTTCAGGTATGGTGTGGGATAATAAGTGCGGGCCCTCTCCCCCCTCTTCCTTACTAAATCCTCCTCTCACCCATCCCCCTTGGAAAATCTCCACAACAGTAATGTTCTGCCATTGGTTATACAGTAACACTGTTATTCCTTGTGTTTTGGAACCTTTTTGGTACAAAGCACACTTTTGCATGAAAGTCTGTGTTGTTGTAGTGTATAGGCACGGAATAACCTTGAGGGATATTTCTTACTACATTTTATCTGAAATCAGGTCTGTGAACTGGAGGAAAAAATTGTAAATTCAGTACAAGATACACTGAAGCTTATAGAGCTTGGTAACAAACTCAGGTAAGGGAAAGTTCTTGCATATGGTCCGTCTGAGACCGTCTAATATCGGACAGTTTAGGTCTGAAATCAGTTCCGGCTGATTTCAGACAGTACTGTGTGAATTTGGATAGATCCATCCGATTTCGGTCGTTTCCATATGATTTCGAACGGTTTCGTTGGACTTCGGACGAATTTCGTTTGATTTCGGACGGTTTCGTCTAATTTTGTGCGCTACCGTTCGATTTCGGACAGATCGGTCCAATTTTGCATTGATCCGTCCGATTTCGGACGGTTCCGTGTTTTGAATTAAAAAGTTGACTACCTATTGACATATTTTTTAACCTGCTGAAAATTTTAGCCATTTATTTATTTACCTCTCTTTTAATGTATGCAGGACTTCTGGGCAAACATCAGCCAATCAAAACTCGTCTCGTTCTCACGCTGTTTTTCAGATTATTCTAAGAAAGAGGTTAGTTACTAACTCCTAGGTACTCTCTCCTCTCCATTGCTTGTTTGTTGACCATAATCTTTGATCATTTGGGGCCCGTTTCTCGGTAATCACGGTTTGTTGGAGGTGTCCCGAGAAGCTCTTCTTTGATCTTATTTACATTCAAGGTCGAAAAATTTTTGGACAGGTTTTGTAAGCTTAAATCCTTTCGTAGATTTAAGTTATTAATTATAGCTTCAGGCCCGTGAAATTACCAATAGGCAACGGCCCGTGAATAATCGGACCCCAGAATTTCTGATTCCACACCCAGATCGTCTACCAGTGGGCCATAAAGACTCTATAGAGTGATATGTCGATGATATTTTTTTTTACTTGTAGAGGATACAGAAAAGATGGTGGAGGAGGCCAACTCTATGGGAAATTCTCACTGATTGATTTAGCAGGTAAATAACTTCGTTACCTCATGCTCAATAACCAATGGCACAGAACAACTTTAAGCGTCATTTGTCATTCGTTTTTTGGTACGCTACTTATTTAGACAGTATTTTTGCATGCTAGCTCTTTCCCTGTTTTTGCTGTTGTTATTTTTTGTTTTGTTGTTGTTGTTGCCGTTGTTTTTTGGACGACCCAATTTCTCGTTGTCTCCCTATTTTCAGGAAATGAACGAGGAGCAGACACTTCAACCGCTGACCGGCAGACGCGTCTCGAAGGCGCTGAAATTAATAAAAGTTTATTAGCTCTGAAGGTTGGTGCCTAACCTAAGATAAGTTTGTCTTATCTGGAAAAGGTTTCTTTCCAATTTTATCTTCTAAGATGGATATCCTGTTTATCTTTGTCGTGTTTATAGGAATGCATCCGAGCTCTAGGACGCAAAGGAGCACATCTTCCTTTTAGAGCCAGCAAACTTACTCAGGTAAGAAAGAAGAACATTAAAAAAAAAAAATCTGTCAATCAACAAATGCACAGATATTCATTTCTTAATGGTTTTCGTACTTTGACCTGTAATTTGATTGTCGAACGACTTATCTTGTATTTGTCTGGCCATTTGCGCGCGGTTGATATAAATTGTTGTCGTCCTGTTCCAACAGGTTTTGAGAGATTCCTTCATTGGTGAAAAATCAAAGACCTGTATGGTAGGAATTACTTTTACTGTGCTTGTGTTGCTGTATTTGTTGCTCACGAATGATGTAATAATTATGAAATAAATATCATTTGACCAATTTAAATGAACCGGTCATCATTATCATTATCATTATCATTATCATCATTATCATTATCATTATCATCATTATCATCATTATCATTCTCATCATTATCATTATCATCATTATCATTATCATTGTCATCATTCTCATCATTATCATTATCATCATTATCATTGTCATCATTATCATCATTATCATTATCATTATCATCATTATCATTATCATCATTATCATTATCATCATTATCATTGTCATCATTATCATTATCATCATTATCANGTTGATATAAATTGTTGTCGTCCTGTTCCAACAGGTTTTGAGAGATTCCTTCATTGGTGAAAAATCAAAGACCTGTATGGTAGGAATTACTTTTACTGTGCTTGTGTTGCTGTATTTGTTGCTCACAAATGATGTAATAATTATGAAATAAATATCATTTGACCAATTTAAATGAACCGGTCATCATTATCATTATCATTATCATTATTATCATTATCATTATCATCATTATCATTGTCATCATTATCATGATCATCATTATCATTATCATTATCATCATTATCATTATCATTATCATCATCATCATCATCATTATTATTATTATTATTATTATTATTACTATTATTATCATTTTTATGAGTATTGTTATTATTAAAAAATCGAGTTTCCAGATGGGATGTGAACCCACGATCCTCCGTGATCTAGTCGGATGCTCTTAACCACTGAGCTACAGGAGACTCTATGGTGAGCATAGAGTCTCCTGTAGCTCAGTGGTTAGAGCATCCGACTAGATCACGGAGGGTCGTGGGTTCAAATCCCATCTGGAAACTCGATTTTTTAAAATTGTTTATTTCATCTTTACATTGTTATTATTGTTGTTATTAATTGTCTCGTGCATAAATATTAAACACCCGAACCCTAAACAGTCTTATTTGTACCTGTTGATAGATCGCAATGATTTCTCCTGGCATGAGCTGCTGCGAACACACACTGAAGACTCTGCGTTACGCAGACAGGTCAGTTGTAAACGATATTGTAGTCTTCTTCATTTTCAAAGCTGTATTTGGTTTCTCAGCTGAGTTCATTCACTGGCTTTGTTTGAAATGAAAATCAACACTGCTCAGTGGCCTTTGTTTGAATGGCCACACACTAGGAATGTGTTACGTTACGACACTACATTTATGGTTTTCAACTCCTCAGAGTCAAAGAGCTCGGTCCAGAGAGTAATGCAAAGAAGAAAGCAGCCCCTGCAGATGGTGGACAAGATGACACTAGCCCTGAAGATATGTCTGCCCTCTCTGGCGGAAGACATCTTAACAACGTGGATCTTGCTCTTCTTTGTAATCACAGCGTACGTGCTCTTCGTAAAATCCTCTTGGAGATGATTTGAGTGCCATTTGATCGAGCGTGTGGTTATCAGTTCAAAGTTTGGTTAATTCAAAGCTTCCATGAAAACTGCAAGTAAGAAGTTCGGTGTTTTTTCTGTTTTCCAGGGCTCTGGTGAGCAGTCGCAAGAACTCTACACGTTCCATGAAGCAGTTTCACAGCTGCAAGACGCAGAGGATAAGTTGGTGGACGACCACAGAAAAAACATCGAGGTAAGATGGAAGAACAGAGGCATACCTAGGGTGTAATCAGAATTTTTCAATGAAGGGTAGGGGGGGTCATCGTTACGAATTTCCTCGCTTTGAGGCGAATACTGCTCCTCTACCTTGTGAACCAGTGTGTTCTTGTTGATGCGACGCGGAGGATTCTTCAGATTCGTACTTTGTAGCCGCTCGAATGAAACTTGTTTATTATTGGGTTAAAGAATATTAATTTCTTCAATTAAGGGGAGGATGAAAGAGGATCCTCTTCAAAGCCTCCGTAGCCCTTGGTGCCAAGTTATGTTACTCTTTGCTTACGCTAGAGTGTTTGCAGGAAAAGCAAACTTAAGACCGAAAAGTTTGTTGAATACAGTTTTGTCCATAACTAGGAAACCAAAATGCTTTTACAAGAAGAGGACAAATTGATCGAAAGAGTGGATATGGATGTCGACTACAACATGGAAGGTAAGTCAGCACTCACTCTCTCTCTCTCTCTCTCTCTCTCTCTCTCTCTCTCTCTCTCTCTCTCACTC